TGAATTGTGACTTTGAGGGTTGGATCGATTCCTATGTTGGACGGTTCAGTCGCTGTTTTTTTTGGCTGACTGTTGACTTTGAAGACTGGATCGATTCCTATGTTGGACGATTCAGTCGCTGTTTTCTTTGGGCTTTTTGAACAGGAGGACGGGCGCCCTATGTTGGGATGTGTCAGAATCCTGATGTTTATTTGTGGGTTGTTGAAAGCAGAGTTGGGGCTATTCTATGTTGCGTGGACCCAACTCTGTGTGTGTTTTTTCTGAGGGAGATAAAGGCATAAGACTGGTCGTATCCCTATGTTGGGGCGGTTCAACCATGAGCCATGAATAGTAAAATCATCTGAAGTATACAACCTTGATATATTATACGAACCTATATGGTCTGATAGACCGGGCGCCCTATGTTGGGGAGCCAGTCAGTAAGTCAGGTAGAACAAAGCAGCAGGTTGGCCGTATCCTTATGTTAGGGCGGTTCGACCTTATGCTCGTAATAATATAAAGGTCAAAGAGTTAGTACATATCTGCTTTTATTTTCCCTTCTAAACACAGGGCAGGGTTGGATGTCTCCCTATGTTGAGTAGGTCTAACCATCTGTCTAATAAGAGAGAAATCTACAAAGTTTGTTCAAGTGCATTCACGGTTGTATAATCTGTCGTTGCGGAGGCTAGGCATATCCCTATGTTGGGGTGTTTAGTCATCCGTTGTTATGGTAGTTCAAGCAGATCGGGCTGTATCCCTATGTTGGGGCAGTCTGGTCGCAATGCCTTACGTAATTAAATTGTTTAAGCAAGTACTAGGTCGTATCCTTATGTTAGGGCGGCCTGGTAGTACGCTCTTGTCCTTGAAGTGATGTAGGTTGGTCGTATCCCTTTGTTGGGGCGGCTCAACCACTTGTCGTTCGTATTTGGTTTTAGGCAGGTTAGGCTGTATCCCTATGTTGGGGCGGACTAATCCTTTGCCATATGTAACTTATATAAGCTGGTTAGGCTGTATCCTTACGTTAGGGCAGCCTAGTTTATGCTTCATGTCGTTAGTCAGGCAGAAGCCAGGCATATCCTTTGGTTAGGGTGTCTGGTCATATGCCTTATGTCTTGGTTTATGTTGTGCCAGCTGTATCCTTATGTTAGGGCAGTTGGACATACGTTCTTTTGTCGTGTGTGGGCTGTATCCTTATGTTAGGGCAGTCCAATCGTGTGTACCCTTTACTTGTTTACTTAAGCAGACCAGCCATACCCTTATGTTAGGGCCTTGTCTAATCTTATGCCATAGGAGAGGGGGATGCTAAAAGGGAAGAATAGAGTGACAAAACGAACTACTTGGCTGAATCCATGAGGGATTGTGAGAGATGTTTGCATTTGCATGATTGTAGGCTCTCACTTGGGGCATCTCTTGATAGAGTAGTTGTTGTAAATGTTCGCCGAGTGCTAGAGCCATAGGTAGGTAAGGTGGATGATGGGAGGGAAGCTTGGGATGAGATAGGACTGACCCTGCTGGGGATTAGGGTCAGCATTGGTTCATGGTCTCATTCAGAAGGCATGCAGACCAGTGTTGAGCCTAACTTGCCAAACAGATGTCAGAAGTAAGTCCCAAGTATAGTTTTGCTTTGCAGCTTGTTCCTCAACTTTGTATAATTCTTGGCAGCCTACTTTTCCTACAGGAAGCGCTGCCGAAATTTCTGCAAATCTGAAGGAGTTAGTCATTTTTAAAGTCGTATAAACTCTGGGAAGACATTTTTCATACGGGAAGCGCTGCCGAAATTTCTGCAAATCTGAAGGAGTTAGTCATTTTTAAAGTCGTATAAACTCTGGGAAGACATTTTTCATACGGGAAGCGCTGCCGAAATTTCTGCAAATCTGAAGGAGTTAGTCATTTTTAAAGTCGTATAAACTCTGGGAAGACATTTTTCATACGGGAAGCGCTGCCGAAATTTCGCAAAATTAGAGGAGTTAGAATATTTTCAGTGAGGTAGAGGAGATAGGAGTATTCCTCACTTATGCTGAACCTAGGAGCAATTTCTCTTTGACCTGTGCTGTCGTGCAAGCTGTACGCTTATTTCGAAGGTCTGACTTGGTCAGCCTGACTACTCTTCTGTTATCACTGATAACAGTGTTATCACTGATAACAGGTCGGTTGCCGGTTCGTCGGTACACGACTCAACCTTCCATTTTTTTCTGCCTCTCAACCTAAAGCCTTGTCCCTGACTGGTTTTCATGTTTCTTGGGTTTTCACCCAACTTCTTTATAAATGGCCATTTCTTGAGAACTGAGTATCTTTGTTTGGAATGGTGGGGGAATGGTTGGGCTTGTGTGCATAAGGCAGGGTATGAGTTGCATAAAGTTGGAAAGTTGACCCCCTTTAGTGTGTGCGTTGTTGTTTGACTCTTGTGTGTGATCACATGTATGTTTGAAGTATGTTGAATGAGTCTGATGTTCTGATTGTATTGAGTTCAGGCGGGCAAGCCACGTAAACTATTGTGAGAGTGTACTATCGCACAACTCTTTGCCTGACTAATCTCCTTGTCTATGTATTGAGGCTAGGCTCACGCTTGCATAGCCCTCACCCGGCTGTGCGAGTGCACACCTATGCCCTTTCTGTATCCCTGTGTAACCTACCTAGGGGGACGATAAATGTATGAGCGTGAGTTTAAGTGTGGCAAGGGTGCGCGCGACTGTGGTCCTAAGGTTCGGTCGACCCCAGGGAAAGCCCGCGCGCGAACATGTAACGCTCTGAGCGCTGGGTTGCTTGGGCACCCGAATTGAGCCCTACCCACGCGCGACCCTTCGGGTGACTGGTCAAGTATTATGTGATGAGGCGGGGACCGCGCGAGAAGAGGAAGGATCCCTTCCCCTACTCCCGCGCAACCCACCTTTCCTTTTTTTTGAGTTCTGTAGACGGACGTTAGTCCTTGGGCCAGGAATTCAAGGTCCTTGTCAACAAGGACCCCGAACCAAACCCTGCGGCGGGGGATTTTTCTCCCGCACAGGGCCTAAGTGCCCTGCCCACCAGGCGACCTAACCGCAAGGCTAGGGGTGCCCTGTGGGCCGAACGGCGTGTCCTTCAGCCGTTCAATATCGTGAGGGGCGAGCCCCCACGATATATTCCTTCAGCCATTCAATATCGCGAAGATATTTCAGCGAACGCTTGAGTTGGACAACATTGCTGGTCGATATGGGAAGGCCTAGTACTCGCGCGGATTGTATTGAATCCGGCACGCGGCGCCGACCTGACTCCCACATCGAAGAGTTATGGGTCTGACGACAGAGACGGAATCGCATGATGGGCAACAACGCGAAGGAGTGCGTAAGGATTCCACGTTCGAGCGCTCAGGCGCGCCAAACGTCGGCCCGCTTAGGGACCAGACGTGGGATTTGTTTGTGCACGACTTCGTGCTAGCCTGCCTTTAAAGGGTATCGGGGCGGACTACGGGCTAAGCAGGGTCGCTCGCCCTGACTAAGGCCTTGGACCGCTTCCTTCTTAAAGCTTTAATGGTTGGGCGTTGTAGCCCGTGGCAGCCGTCAAAGTCAAGCCCCTTGATCTTTGGCTGCCACGACAGCTTGAAGTTGTCTACTCAACCCCTCTGCACAGGGTGCAGAAGAGGGTGTGGTCCTCAACCGCTCATGGCGGTTGTCTAGCGCGGAGAGATTAACCCTTGAAGCGCTTGTCAACCGACACTTGAGTGTGGAAGGAAACCCTTAAACCAACTGAGGGCCACCCAGGCTTGGACGCCACATAGTACCCCATCACTGCAATCATTTGTGTAAGCACGCATGACTGGTTGGTATGAGAAGGCCGTGCGTTCGCGGGGTCCTTTATACTAAGTCCAGCGCGCAATGGCTACCTAGCGTTCGTGTCGAAGAGTTATGGGTCAGATACCAAAGGGACTGGGAGTTGTATTTTCTCTGTTTTGCTTGTGTGTGCGTGTGTGCGAGTTACTTGATTTTTGTTTTAGAGTGGTGTAGCGCGTGGTGTGCGTGAAGCATCCTAGTCGACCGACGTCAAGTCGAGCTTGGGACTTCAGGCCCCCAGTGTCGCCGACTTGTGTACGGGTTCAATTTCGGGCGTTGACCGCGCGTAACCCTTATGCTACAGCGAACGAGAAACGCCATCGGCTGGGCCACCTCTGCAACTGCATTATAAAAGCTTTCGCATGTGGTTGAGTAGCTCGGCGGGGATACGCCCACCAAAGGGATGGTGACAGCTCCCGCTGGTGGAGGTAGCGGTGCCTCGCGTGGCCCTGTCCTGTCGTAGGGGCGCGTGAGAGGTACGGCTGGCGCACTCGGCCGGAGCGGCAACACGCTCTTCCGCGACAAGTCCTGCCAAATCCTGCGTGACGCGGCCGGGAGGGTCCCCGTGTGGGACCGATGCGCTCGACAGGTGGCGCCGTTGCCGGGAATCTCGGCTGCCTACCGGGGTCCACAGTGAATGAACCCAGGTTAAGAGCAGGCTGATGATCCAGGCAAAAACGACAACCTTTGATGGAAAGATTTTTCTCTTTGACGATGATTCGAGTATGGTAGTTTTCTCAATGACACGTTAGATCTGTCTGCCTTGATTGTGAGTAAGGTCGGAAGTGTGCATTGTGTGTATCCGTTTCAGCGATAGGGTCAGAGTAATAATATAGACCGGATAGGTTACTTTAGTTAATAAAGATAGTAGTTGAATGGTGAAAGTAGGCAAGTTAGAGACTTGACGGCCGATTGTTTTGTTAAAAACTTTCGTCCCTCAACAGGTGTTTGAGAAAACGTAAAGATGGCGGACGCCGACGGAATCGAGCGGGGCCCGGGTGCTACACCT